TTGGTCTTATGAAGTATTCTAATTTGTTGAGATAGTGAATTGGTGGGTTTTTGTTAAATGTGAGCCAAAATCATCACAATTAAAAGAACCAAAGACTTAAACTACTTCAGTCTGTGTGCATTGAATTTATTTAACACGCAAGTTTCACAATTTGAGTTGAATTACTGAAATTAACTTTTTCACGACATTCTAATTTATTGAGATGCACCTGTATATACATATGTTTGCACATATACATGTCTCCTTAACTCTTATCCAGAAAATACCATACAACTGGGAAAGTCATGAGGCCTTTACATATTGTGCAATGGGGGGCCATGGAGTCAAACAAACATACAAAATCACTGAATGCAACATTATATTGTACATATAGAAGTCCACTCAACCCCCCTCCATACTGTTGCAATTTCATTACAATTAAACACTGCTTTATAAACAAAGTAAAATCAATAAAATTAATTGTTTTTAGCAGTTGTCACAACAGTCATAAAGCTTCTCTGGCAACATGATTTGTATGCTGATACTTCCAACTGTATTCTGCTGGTCACGGTTATGTTTAACATCTTCAGGTAGGTTAGACTCAAACGTGTTAAAAGCTACCAAGATCTCCATGTATTGCAATCATAACGGCTTTAAAACACTGCTCATTTGAAGTTAATGAAAACAGACAACATTTCCTCATTTATCATTTTATTTTTTTATACAGAAAAGTATAGGCCTTCCATCAATGATCAGTCAACCTAGAAGAGACAAAAACATCTTGTTAGAATAAAAAAAAAAAGCATCAATGACAAAAACTAGTCAGCAAGGAAAAACCCTTCTCAGACAAATGCCTCTACATCTTCAATCTAAGAGGACACCTGACTCTGAGGAACTGAAGTCAGACGCACAGAACGTGAGCCTGACCCAGAATCCTCAGAGACGGGCCTCAATCCGACTCGTCATCGTATCTTCACTGAAGGGAACGTGGCGGTCAGTTTGGGGTTTTTAGGTCTTACCCCTTTATGGGGTTGGCACTGGGGCTCCCTGCGGCATGACTGGGGCCTCGGGCTTGGTGCCCCCCTTCTGTTCGGACACTGGGGTGGTGGGCAGGACCTCATCTTTGGGCTCCACGATGCTGACGTGGTCAGGCAGGGGCTTCTTGGGGCCGATCTTGCCGCTGGGATCCCAGGGAAGCATGATTTTCACCTTGATTCCAAGCACACCTATACGCAGACAAAATCACAAGGACACATTACAAAATCAGACAAGTCAAGAACTAGTCAGCAAGAAGAAAAAAAAACCCTTCTCAGACAAATGCCTCTACATCTTCAATCTAAGAGGACACCTGATCTCTGAGGAACTGAAGTCAGACGCACAGAACGTGAGCCTGACCCAGAATCCTCAGAGACGGGCCTCAATCCGACTCGTCATCGTATCATCACTGAAGGGAAGGTGGAGTCAGCTGGCACAAACATTGTACAAAACATTGAACCCAGTTGGTATAATGTTGCCATTTGAGCGTCACCATACGTTTGAAAGCATGCATTCAAAGCCTTCTCAGACGAACGCCTCTGAAACATCACACTGCTCTGAAGAACCAGAAATTGACCAAGACTCTTCCAAAACAATCTAATTCTGGGTTCAGTATATCGTCATTGAAGGAAAGATATATACTCTTCTGAGGTTAAACTTCCAACAATTAGTTATTCAATATGTTAGACATTTGAGGTGCCATGCTAAACCTTATACAGGGTTTCTGCAGGATTTTTAAGCTCAAATTTAATATTTTGAAATCATAATTAAGACTTTCTTGTACAATTTAAGACTTTTTAAGGCCTTAAATTTGATACAACTAAATTTAAGACTTTAAGACCCGCGGAAACCCTGCTTATAATTGTATATGGCAACAGGTTTGCACATTGAAGTCCAAGTATTTGAGATGATACACATTTCTGCTCCCGACTTTCTGATCTGATTTAAATTTGAGTCACAAGCTCTCAGTGCAATATAAACCCATTTAAATCTGAAAGTCTGTTTCAACTATCTTCCTATCCTACTGCAAGTGATTAAAATCCCTGGGAAAAATAAGCTTTCCATCTTTTAGATCCCAAAGACAACAAATATTTAAAATTAGAAAGGCATATAGTTTCTTGTATAAAGGCCAAACTTGCACTTAAAATTAATACTGCAAATATGTCTCAATTATTAGGAAATCATTTAGTTTAGTAAGTTAAATTATATATTTTTTTCTAATCATCATTCTATTAGGGTTGTGACTGAGGAAATTTTCCCACTGGTTAATTGACGTGCGATAACACCGGTAATACCGGTATCACCGCGGGGGCATTCCCTCTTTTCCTTGCTTTTAAATAGCTTGTAAAAGCGGCGTGTGCATTTTATTTTCACTTTCAAATAGTGGCAATTCGGCGTAAAGCAATTGTTCGTTTGAATTTTTTAAATAGCTTAAAAAGCGCCGTGCGCATTTTACTTTCACTTTCGAATTAGTGGCAGTTCGGCATCAATTGCTTGAATGCAACAACAAAATACAACGTCAAACTCACTTTAGCGTATATATAAAACATACGTTTTATTAACAAAAATAAGAATATACCATGCTATAGGGGAGGCTATTCCTAATAAAATAACAAAATAACTTAGTTTAAATGTATAAAACTGGAAACAAGTAAACATGTATAACCAAATAAATAAGAAACGTAGAACGTTTATTAGCAAAACGAGTAAGAAAGCTTGGAGGCACGGCATACACCTTGAAATCAAATCAAATAAATTACAGTTTAAATAAAGAAATCAGCAAACAATGTGGAACCAATTAAATAAGAAACAAATGTTTAAAAAAACTTCCAAAATCACCTTAGATAAACGGCAGAAGTCAACAGGCTTTTCGAAATCCAAAATATTGCCAAACAGGTGCTTTTGCATTTCCTTTCGAAACTAAATCATCCGCGATCGTCTTGTCCGTCTCACCTCACTCGTCTTGTCAGTCAGCTGGACTCATAAAAACTTCCAAAATCACCTTAGATAAACGGCAGAAGTCAACAGGCTTTTCGAAATCCAAAATATTGCCAAACAGGCACTTTTGCATTTCCTTTCGAAACTAAATCATCCGCGATCGTCTTGTCTGTCTCACCTCACTCTTCTTGTCAGTCAGCTGGACTCATTCTCCTCACTGGAGAAATTAAATCTGATCTGTGATGAGACGGTCGTTCGGCATGCTGCATTGAGCAGCCGCGTTCAGTTTTTAATTGTAGTGTCGGTTCTTTTACTGAACTAAATTATTTTTATTACTATAAAAAATCAAAACGACGGTGGGGGTCGGTGACGCGGTGGGCAAGTGACGTAACCGGTGTTGCGGCTTAACACCGGTATCACCGTCTATCGCGGCAAGCCTACATTCTATATTACTTTTTTCTATATATAAAAACCATGATCTATTTTTTTTTCTACACTAATACACTTCACTTAAGATTTGACAAATGAAAATCCACAGTAGGCTACTTGAAAAAGTATACACTGTATTCTCATTTTTTAACAGTTTCTCTCAACATTTCCCCCTATTAAAATGCAATGTGCTGAAGATGACAAATTCATAGTGCTTATAAATAATCTAAAATGATAAATATTTAGAAAATACTGAGATAGTAAATTTGTCCTACTCATAATACTGTATTTACTCATTTTAATTTATTTTTCCCCACACTTTTTCTCGAAACATTTCCACAGCTAAAGATCTGACACAAATGAAGTTTCCAGAGAACCATCACTCTGTGACTCTTACTCACCCTGTCGGAGCAGTACGTGGCGGACAGCAGTGTCGACGTAGTAGTTTACAGGGTCTCCGCTGTGGATCATCAGGCCATCCACAAACTTCATGGATTTGGCTCTCTGACCTCTCAGTTTACCAGAGACGACCACCTCACAACCCTTGGCCCCGCTCTCCATGATGAAGCGCAGGACACCGTAGCAGGCCCTGAGGACAACAGACACAGTATACAACCATAAACACACAGGACAAGGAAATGAAAAATAATCTAGACTCTAAATAAAATGTGCTGCCTGCTTTCCATCCATCCTTCTCAGACAAATGCCTCTATGTCTTCAAGCAAATAGGACTCGCTGCTTTGAGGAACTGAAGTCAGACGCACAGAACGTGAGCCTGACCCAGAATCCTCAAAGACAGAACCGGCCCCATTCCGACTCGTCATCGTATCATCACTGAAGGGAATTTCAGTCGGGAGCCCAAAGCATGCTGGGAAGTGAACGCTCACCTACGGACAGCCAGTCCTCCGAGCAGCTTGTAGCGCAGAGACTCTGCCTGAGCGATGGCGCAGAGACCCCGGGTGGCCACCTTCTCAGCGTACAGCTACAAACAAACAACCCAATACTTCAGAACATGCAGTTACAAACTAGTTTTGGACCCCATTTACGCCTGTGTTTAGCACTAATCTCACCTCCACACTGCCTTCGGGGAACCCGAATCGTTTCTGAACGACGGCAGTCAGTTCACGAATGCGGCGGCCTTTCTCTCCCAGAACGTTTTGGGTCCTGAAAAGACAAACGGTCATTACATTCAATTCATTACACTTGCATTGCATTAAAGCCATTACACTATGCTTGAGTTAATCCATGTCAATGCTTTTAAATGCACGTTTTAAGTAATGTTGTAATGTAATGGAAATAAACTCAAATTAGAGTAAACGGTTCACACCTGGTGGCTAGGATGATGATTTCTGTTCTTGTTGGCGTGACACGGACCTCCACACCGGAGTACCCATCCTCGGCCAGCTCTCGGGTCAGAAACTCATTCAGCTCGGCTTTGAAGATGCCATCCGACACAAACTGATAGAGAAACATTGACATGATTATGTCTTCTGATGTAGAAATAAAATGACAGACAATTGAGCTCATATGAACATTAACATCTTGCAATACGTGTTGAATACCATGACAAATGTGACACTGGAGCACAAAAGCAGTGTTAGGTCGCTGGGGGATATTTGTAGCAATAGCCAAAAATACATTGTATGGGTCAAAATTATCGATTTTTCTTTTATGCCAAAAATCATTAGGATATTAAATAAAGATCATGTTCCATGAAGATATTTTGTGGATGTCCTAACGTAAATATATCAAAACTTAATTTTTGATTAGTAATATGCTTTGCTAAGAGCTTCATTTGAACAACTTTAAAGATGATTTTCTCAGTATTTTGATTTTTTTGCACCCTCAAGATTACAGATATTGCCAAATATTGTCCTATCCTAACAAACCATACAGATATGGAAAGCTTATTTAATCAGCTTTCAGATGATGTCTAAATCTCAATTTCAAAAATTGACTTGACCCTTATGACTGGTTTTGTGGTCCAGGGTCACATGTGTCTATCAAAAATAAAACAAAACTGCTATTATAACACATTTACGTATGTGTGGGGCGGAGCTATCAAAATAGGGGCGAGACCCTTTTGGGGTAGGGGCGTGTTTGTTTTGGTGATTTCAAATGTCAACATTGGCTACCAGAAATCACTTACCCCACCTTTAACACACAAAAGAGTGATGACCAGGTCAACAAACATTTAAGTATAGAAAATCTACACTGATTAAAAAAAAAAAAACTGTGTCGGTAACGTATCGGCAGATACTCGGAACTTCTGGTATAGGATCGATTCTGGAAAAATGGTATTGGTGCATCCCGAGTTAACCCATGTCAATGGTTTAAATGCACGTTAAACATGTAAAGTAATGGAAATACACTGAAATGCGTGTAAGCAGTGCACACCTGGTGGCTAGGATGATGATTTCTGTTCTTGTTGGCGTGACACGGACCTCCACACCGGAGTACCCATCCTCGGCCAGCTCTCGGGTCAGAAACTCATTCAGCTCGGCTTTGAAGATGCCATCCGACACAAACTGATAGAGAAACATTGACATGATTATGTCTTCTGATGTAGAAATAAAATGACAGACAATTGAGCTCATATGAACATTAACATCTTGCAATACGTGTTGAATACCATGACAAATGTGACACTGGAGCACAAAAGCAGTGTTAGGTCGCTGGGGGATATTTGTAGCAATAGCCAAAAATACATTGTATGGGTCAAAATTATCGATTTTTCTTTTATGCCAAAAATCATTAGGATATTAAATAAAGATCATGTTCCATGAAGATATTTTGTGGATGTCCTAACGTAAATATATCAAAACTTAATTTTTGATTAGTAATATGCTTTGCTAAGAGCTTCATTTGAACAACTTTAAAGATGATTTTCTCAGTATTTTGATTTTTTTGCACCCTCAAGATTACAGATATTGCCAAATATTGTCCTATCCTAACAAACCATACAGATATGGAAAGCTTATTTAATCAGCTTTCAGATGATGTCTAAATCTCAATTTCAAAAATTGACTTGACCCTTATGACTGGTTTTGTGGTCCAGGGTCACATGTGTCTATCAAAAATAAAACAAAACTGCTATTATAACACATTTGTGATGCATGTACTGCGTATATATATTCCACTTTACAAGGTCCATACCCAAATATAGTGTCAATTTCTAGCAGTCATACTCACGCTAGCTTCCTGAAACATTTAATGTGCTTAACTATAACGTCTGTGTTGCATTTGACACATTTGAACCACTCCAACACAAGATCAGCGCTGCGTTCACCTGCCATGTTTCTCCTCAGCTTCAGAGCCGACAGCATCCAGCTCAATCCACCTCGACATCCTTATTAAACCCTCATCTGAATAGCTTAGGTTATGGTTAAGTACCATAGTATTCATGCGCCGCTCTTATTTTGCACTTCTGCGCTTTAATTACACAAATTTGAAATGAAATTCGTACCCACCTTTCTCTTCTTCGAGATTTGCACCGTCATCTTGCCGGATGCCGCAGACAGGAAAGGAATTGGCGATGTAGCGGAAGTGCGTTTATGGTAACGAATCACTTCCGTATGACTGCGTAATGATGGGAATTGTAGTTCTCACATCACACGCGGTAATCTCTTTTTAGTTAAGTGTTTAAATTGTGGAACATTAATACAGCCTACGATATTGCAATTGTCGTCCTTTAAATACATGTTTTAATAGGATATGGATTAGATGTGTCATAACAAATGTTTTAATAGGACAAACAGATTAATGTTTGTGTATGAATAAAATTAATAATGTAAGATCAATATAATGAAATATAATTCTCTTCATTGTTTTTTGGACTATGTAACTCTACAAGTAACAACAAAGTAGCTAACTACATTAAAACACATCAAATTAACAAAGTAGTAAACAAACAAACAAACAAAGGTAACTACCTTTTTTTCTTTAGGAATTTTATTTTTTTTTTTTCTTTTGGACCAAGTTGGACCATTACAATCTTCTTAAACACATCACACGCGGTAATCTCTTTTTAGTTAAGTGTTTAAATTGTGGAACATTAATACAGCCTACGATATTGCAATTGTCGTCCTTTAAATACATGTTTTAATAGGATATGGATTAGATGTGTCATAACAAATGTTTTAATAGGACAAACAGATTAATGTTTGTGTATGAATAAAATTAATAATGTAAGATCAATATAATGAAATATAATTCTCTTCATTGTTTTTTGGACTAAGTAACTCTACAAGTAACAACAAAGTAGCTAACTACATTAAAACACATCAAATTAACAAAGTAGTAAACAAACAAACAAACAAAGGTAACTACCTTTTTTTCTTTAGGAATTTGATTTTATTTTTTTCTTTTGGACCAAGTTGGACCATTACAATCTTCTTAAACATTATTATCTATACATTAAAAAATAAAACCAATATTTAACTACTTTTTAGCTTTAATACAAAAACTCTGGTCACACTTTATTTTACAGCATGTGTACTTTCAGTCCTTTTTGAGTAAGAACACTGTTAGTATAAGGTATCTACATGGGTTAAAGTTTAGGTTTAGGGTTAGGTTCAGGGTTAGTACCTAGTTATTACCCAGTTATTGTAGGCTAATTGTTAGAATGATAGAATACAAAGTTAACAAAATTATGCTGTGTGGCTATGCAAGTCAACAATAAATAAATATGTAAATAAATACAAAAGAAATGGATAAAAATAATTAAAACATATATATATAATACGGTAAATAGGCTACTATATAGTGTGATACTCCATGAGACAATTTTATTTTTATAAAATTGTACAGCTTAATTTTCACACCCGCTTTCTCATCTTACTGAATCCTGAGGTATGAGACAAGTGAACATATTTACATTTTTTAATATGATAAACATATGTATAACACATATTACAAATGCGGTCTTAGCACTTTAGAACATTGTAAAAAAAATACACACTGGAATTATTTAATACAACTGCAGGGGCAATTCAACCCAAGTAAGGTTAGGTTTTTCTAGAGGTGACCAAATCAATTGCTCATCCAGTGGACACAAATGTGTTGGGCTTAGAACATCCTCCTTCCAGCTGCTTTTACCTTTCTTGGTGTCATTAACAGCATAAACCCCAACAGAGCCATCCTGAAACCCCACATACACAAAAAAATCCTCAGAAACAGTCAGAGTAGAGGGGTTCTTGCACAAATAGAACCTGCCTACGGTCTCCCCATCAGTCAGACGTATGGCTACCAGCATCGGCTTCTCATGGAGATCACAGGATATATTTTGGCACACCAGAGAGGAGAAACATATATAGACCACATATTGTCCAAAAACACCTACAGATGCATATTGTTGCAGAACAGGTCCTTCGGTTCTCAAAGAGCACAGTTTACTGTTGGAGAAATCTAAGATGTTTATAGTGGATTCAGATATTGAAAGGAGGGCATAACCTCCATCTGATGATAGTCTAAAGATCTCCGGTTGGCACAAAGAAGAGTCTGGCAGCTGGAATTGATGACAAATAGTATCCTCTGTTAACCTCCAGGAGTATACATCGCCTGAGGCTGAAGATACAATCACGTAATCTGGATGGTCAAGCAGAGAATGGAAAGCAACAACATGTGACCGGTCAGAGCATGAGAAGCATTTGCTTACATTACCAGACCAAAGGCTAACAGCCAAGAGATCCCCACTATGAAGTCCTAACAGGAAGGTGCTCTCTGGAGAAATGGTGGCATTTCTGAGATGAAGATGAATGCTGCAAATCCCATGTCCATTCTGCAATTTCCACACCCTTGATGGACCGGTCTCTGATAGTGCAACTGCGGAGTTGCCCTTGGGTGTTATTAGAACCTTGTAAGCTTGACTATTAGAGATTCTGTAAATATTTTCCCCACTACTGGTTTCCCAGACATATATGTCTCCAGTTGCAATACTCACAAGGTAGTTGCCATCTCCAGAGACAGACATAGACTCCACAGTACCTTGGTGAAGGACGCTGCCTTCTACTTTGCCACTTGATACCCCCCACTTCCAAATAAGTTTGGAGCCATCCGAAGAGTAACAACTTTCTCCATGAGATCCCACAGCCACCATCTCCACCCTCTTTCCAGATTTTGGTGCCAATGCTGAAGCTGTAATGAGATCCATGTCCCAAATAAGAACACTTATGCTTGTTATTGCTGCCAGGTAAGTGGCCCCACATTTCAGAAGTTTAACAGCTTGACAGTTTGCAGTGTCCAGACTCAACACACACTGTCCAGAGGCACAATTCCAGACCAGCAGAAATGGGCAGTTGCACAGTAAAGCAAGGATGAAGCGCGAGTTTTGATCCATTATGGCTTTCTTAAATGTTTTGCCTTTTGGGGGATTGAATTGGTCAAGTACATCAGTTTGATGAATGTCTATGAGTTGCATTTGTTGCTTTTTACATATTAGGAGAACATTGTCCCCTTTGTAGTCTGTATTTAACACCTTCCCCTGGGTTGTGCAGTGGTTCTCACAAATCAGAACTGGTTCTGTTATGATCTTAAGATTCCAAGCAAATGCGTTTCCTGCTTGATCTACACATGTAATCATCCCGTCACCCTCAGAGAGAATCATATCAATTAATGGCATTTCTTTTGGACAAGTAAAGGTGGCTAGAAGCTGACCATTGGACCAATCAAATATTGTCACAGAACTTTCTTTCTGTCCACAGTAAATTATATCACCTTCCTCAGAACATGTCACACAGGTTATCTCATAAGTGCAATGCAGTTCGGTCTGTTCCTCTCTATCGACAAATACATTAACAATGTTTTGTCCTCTCCACCATACAAAGAGTTTGTCATTAGACACCAATACACCCTCAAGAATGGTGTTCTCCCTGTTTTGGGTTTGAATTTCTTGAGGCTGTGTGTTAACACCTGCATCCCACAAGACAAGTTTACCACAATGGGTGCTCAGAAGGAATTTGTTTCCAGAGCTACTGACACTCGTGAAACGCAGTTTAGAGGATTGGGTTAGTCTGAAGCCTTCAAATATACCTCCATTACAAACCCAAGCATCACCATTCTCCAGTACAACCACCACAGTGCCACAGGAAGATCCAGTTGACTGTATGATTCGGGAAGCTGTCGACTCTTGCGGTGTACAGTGGGTGTAAGGTACTGCAGGAACTGGAGGCAACACAGTATACACTCCATTTTTTGGGATAATACCTTCAGACCTTGGCGGATTGGCACATTCTTCCAATGCAGGAAAAACATTAAGAAAAGGAATAAGTTTGGCTTGCAGTACTGTTGGCAGATCGGCAGGGTTGTTCCTCAGCAGACAAGCTGAAGATCTCAAGATGATGTGGAGTAGCTGAAGTTCCCTGGGAAACAGCAACTGAGATGTACTCTCAAGCCACAGGAACAGTTCATCAGCCAGTTCTGCTTGCAGCATTGCCTGAAGGTATTCCTGAGAAATCATTTGGTTGCCAAGCTCCTCAATTCTCCCACTTTTCAACAAATGGAAAGGGAGTATGTGGAGTTTCCTTAAATTGGGATGTGTTCTTGCTGATGGACTCTTGGCAGTAGAGATATAGAAAGGAGGAGAAAAAATCCAAGGTTGACTTGGTACTTGTCTGTCAATGTTAATATTCTGTGGGACATCTGAAGAGCTTGGCATTTTCATGTCTTCATTGACGATCAAAGGCTTTGCTGTGCCATTTGCCCAAGAGCCACTAAAATAGTCTAACAGCACATGATGTATCTTCTGACTTGTTTCCTCTGAGCACAGGTACCTCTTACATACGACCAAGGGGAAGTGTCTGCTGACCCAAAAAAGAGTTTGGGTACCTAAAACGTTCCTCAGCACTAGAAACCCCTTCAGGTCTGAAAGAAGACTTTCCACAAAAATTTCAGGAACCCTCACTGTAAGTGGTACGCTATCGCCTGGTGGAAGGAAAGATGTGAGAACTTCATCATCACAAGAAAGAACATCAGTCAGCTCAGCTGCGGTCATGCCGTACCTGGCCAAGGTAAGATAGCTTAAAGCTTTGGAGACTACAGTTTTCCCATGCTTCTTCTCCAGATGATCAAACATCAGAACAATGTTATTATTGACCTCTTGGACCAGAGAGTTCTCCGTAATCTCAAACTCTGACTTCCAGTGGATCGTCTGTCTGTGAAGGAGTTCCACATATAGTGAGACAGAGCATTTCTTAAAAGCCTGATTCACATACATCTGTTGGCCTGAGGTGATCTTTCTGTTGGACTCCTGAAGAAGTCTTGTCAGAAGCTGGCTGCAGCTTTTACTTTCTACTTCTTGCAGCTCACAGAACACAGTTGAATCTGGGTAATACTTCTTCAGAGTAGCAAGAAGATCAGGCCGGTTTACATTTATAGAAATAAGAAGCTTTACATTTGGAGCTAATGACTCGGGAAGTAATGTCAAGTCGAGTTGTCCATCAGTATTTGGCAGTTGGTCAAGAGCATCTATGATGAGCACCAAAGGATTCTTGGATGGTGATCTTGCGGTCAGGAGTCTTTTGAAATTTTCTTTTAGCTGAAAGATGTTGTTGACACAGGTACTACTTGAATCA